ATTTTACATTTTTGTTGAACTTAAGAGCTTTTATATATGTCTTAAGTTGTGAAACATTGAAAATGTTTTGGTTTATTGGAAGTATGTTTTGGAACTTGCCTCATATGGAAGTTGAATGTAACATTGTATGTGTTCTATGATCCAAGTGATGGTCACTTGGGGGTGAGGTGTCGTGAGTATTGATTTTTTTTTCCTTCTCCTTTCTCGTCGTTTTAATGCTTTTTGATTTTATAGTAAAGGGTGTAGATTATGAATTTAACGTATGTGGGTAGACTACTTGAGAGGTCATGATTGTTGGAAACTGCAAAACGTGTGGATCTTTGTGCTAGTTTGTAATTTCAATTGCAATGAAATGCTGATTATTAGACTATCACACAGCCTACTTAATGGAATTATAAGGAGCATTTCGACGAGATGTCAGATATTTTTGACCTTTACACAATTAGAAGAAACATCTCCCTGACTTGAAGGTTATCCTTGATATTTCTAGCGCAAAAGGCAATAATTAACTTCAACTTTCAGATAGACAACTTGTTGGACTTCGTTTGAACTAAGTCGTTGTCTGAATCCTTAAGATCTTTTCTTATAAGGCGAATATATTACTCGGATTGTTGTGTGCTTCTCATGGAATTTAATGATTGTTATTTGTTGCTGCAAATTAAGCTGTAGGAATAGGCCTGCTTTGATTCATTCATGAATTTTGAGTGATCTGGGTGCCATTTTGAACTTTGTCTTGTCCATATATCTAAGTGCTAATTGTTGAAAAAGTTTATATGTGGAATGTTGGCGTTGAAGAGATGAATGATTTTGATTGCACATTTCTTTTGGGTACATGTTGCTGATAAATCGGCCTCACATTGTTTTTGTCACCCAGTAAGATGACATTGTAGTTGTTTGATCTTCAACTTGATCCTTAAGAGTGCTTGCTTAAACATTTTGTATTTGATTTTCAATCCTCGATATTTGTACTCATTTATCTGCTATATTGCTTCAGCAGCCTGATAGCAGCATGCTCTTGGAGCTCACCTTTCTCTATCCTATAAATTGCCACTTTATACTGAGTTTGATATCTGTAAACTGATAAAGACCCTAGTAATTGATTGACCTTGTCTGATGAGTATAATGGAAGAATTATTGGTGCATGTTGAGATTTTGGTGTTTTTAGCATTGAGTTAGGTCAACCAAGCCTATTTATTTTGGAATCTGAAATGTTAATTGCATACATAATATTGATTCTATTTTGTAGCATTCACGGTTGTCTAGTTGATGGTTTGGTAACGTGGCCTTCTTTCTGTAAGAGTTTACTGTAATTGCACATGGGATAAGGAAAAATAGTGGTTTGTGCAATAGGTACCAGGATGATTGGCTCAAGACGTCAGCAAGCTCTCTGCAACTCTGGGAAAAGGCTCCTCTTGAACCATATACTCTGCAAAAACCTGTAAGTTATATAAAACCAGTTGTTAGTCGCAATTTTTTAACACATTTTCATTATGATTTCTTTATATTCACCACTCAAGAGATCCTACTAAGTGGTGTTGAACATTTTTTATTTCCCAAGTGATTCTACAACGTTTTATTTTTTTCTAATTCTTCATTAAATGTTGCAGATGACTTACTATGTTGTATGTCCAGACATTGATCCCCTTACTACCGCTGCTGCGGAATTTTTTCAGCAACTTGGCACTGGTTAGTGTGATAAAAGAGTTACATTTGTTCATTGGTTAGTGTGATAAAAGAGTTACTCTTTAAGTTTTGTGATTTTAAGTATCTTGTGTATATGTTCATTGGATAATCTTCACTATGATTAATAAGCACAGACAAGACATATACTTTTGTTGGAGTATTGTTTTTTTGGAGTATTTTGTTGGAATAATTGGTGTAAGAGGTACATATACTTTTGTTGGAGTATTTTTTTTTTTTTTTTTCTACCCTTAGCTTTTCTGAAGGAGTCTTTCCATTAGAAAATCTCGTACAAATGCCAAAGTCAATGAATGGCACTTTGTTATTTGACTTTCTTATTTCTGTGGGATGTTAATGTGGAATATTTGTAAAAAATGCATTATCATTAATGTTAATGTTGCATTGAGGATTATTTATAGTTTTGGATTTTCTAATTTGATCAAAAGTTGAGATGTCACTGGTATTTGCAGTATATTGAAGTGATAATAAATTACTTGGTGTCTTATTGAGCCAAAAAGAAATCACCATAAAGCAAAACTAGTAATAAGGTCAATGAACATTAAAACAAAAAAGAAACTGAGTGAAAAATACAGAAATTCAATCAACCCCAATGCATGAATTGCGACATTAAATATATACATTAACATGTTTCTTGAGACAACATATCAATATATATAGGCATCTTATAAACAGATAGAGAAAAATTGGAACTTGCATCGAAAAAGATTTGAAGATTTAGAGCTTGTGTGAGAGACATGAAGATTGAAAGTGTTGGGTTGCATGGACAAAGAAAGTTCTTGGCAACAGGGTTGATGCCATTTACTCAAGGGTAGCATTTGTTTAAATATCTTGTGAAAGCTGTGTTATGGAGTAACATTTGTATTACAGTGCTCAGATAGTTGGAAACAAGTTCTGTGGGAAACACAATCCGTTTCCCATTTCATGGTGAGCAAAATAGGACAATTGTGCCCAGATAATGGGACATTTCCCGTTTCACGGTGCTCATTTCACCTTACTGAAAACATGCTTGGTTAATCAATGATTCGTTTTCCTGTTCCCAGAATGCTGCAATGACACATGCTTGGTTAATCAATGATGACATTTTTTCACTGACATTGTATATTTACCTAACGTATTGTTACAATTTGTTTGATATCAATTGTGGTTAACCACATTTAGAATTAATAACATCTATTCTGTTTACTGCAGGTAGCTGCAACTTCTGATCTAATGCTTGGATATGTGGATTTTTTCCTCGGTGGAGATGAAAAAAGAGCTGACCTTCCTCCTCGCCTTCAGCAAAGATTTCCAATGTCTTTGTTGTTTGGAGGAGATGGAAGTTACATGGCTCCTTTCTCTCTTCACAGTGACAATATCCTCACTAGCCTCATGAGTCAGGTCTGCTATTTGTTATTGATAAAGATAATGGAATGTTCAAGATTATTTTTTTCATATGAATTATTTTACCAGCATAACATCTCATTCCAATCTCCTCTCTCTTTTATACTTCATAATACTAAACCTATTAGTCATCAGGTAATTTTGATGTTTTTATGATGTTAATCTATCAGAGAATAGCTGCTCAATCTATTGCCCTGTGCTAGAAGGATCTTAGCTGCTCAATGTGGGGGTGGGGGAGCAAGGGCACATGGAAGAGTCTAAGGTTGGGGATGCATCTAGGGGAGTATTTACGTATTTTATATATAAATTTATTGTAAGGAATATATATACGTATATTTTATTGAGTTGTATTGAACATGATAAATGTCTTTGGTACACTACCAGTTAAATCTTAACATAAGCATAGTATATTTATGTTTCTTTTCAGTCCCTCGAAACTTTAGATTGCTTGAGGAACTTGAACGTGGAGAAAAGGGTATTGGAGATGGTACTGCGAGTTATGGAATGGATGATGGAGATGACATTTACATGCGTTCATGGACAGGCACCATTATTGGGCCGCATAATTTAAGCAACTTTTTTAAGTTCATTACGTATTCTTTTGGAACTGTCTTCTTTTATGCAGAGGCTATTTGGAAGTATATTAATGCATTATCTTTTTCTAGACTCCAGTTTCTTCTTCTGGACTAGTGATGCTACTTGTTGATCTTTAATTTTCCTAGTTTTAATCCTTTGACTGAGAATCTTTCTAGTCAAAAAGAGGGGGGAAAAAACTATTCCCCTGTTTTATTTTTCCTAAATTTCGCATCTTACTATAATTTATGCCTCTCAATTTACGTTCTCAGTTTGTAAACATGCAGATGTTCTTCATGACCACAAGTGTAAAATTACATGGCTATCTAATGGAAATGGATAATTCATTGATGAATTTAGTTTTATGATATTTTGTGATGTCTTTGTTTTCTATAAGATGAGCATTCCCAAGTGATAATATAACAGGTTCGTGCTGTCGCTTACTGGTTCTTTCTTGTTTTGTAGGAACATTTTGCAAAACGAAATAAGATGGTTCTTACTCTTAAGTATATAGGTCAGTAACCTCTCACTTCCCGTTCTTGTTTGTCTTATGTTTCTTCTTGAACTAAACTTGGAGAAATTATCAAACAGAGTGCTGCGAAGGGAAATAACAAGATTTGGACCTGATCAATTTTTCTGACAAATCCTACATACATGATCCGGGCTATTCGAAGCAATGCAGCTGACAATGTGTATTGTACACTCATTGCTCAGAGTGCTGTTCATGGAGCTATGGCCGGGTACACAGGCTACACAAGTGGGCTTGTTAATGGCAGACAAACTTATATTCCTTTCTGTTAATAATGTTAATAACTATACCTATAATTTAATAACTATATTGATCTGTAATTGATCTGTAGATAGCCTAGCAGATAGTTGTTGCACAGCTAGACACCTTCTTTACACCTTCTTTTCCTTTTGCTTTCATTTGTATATTTCCTTGTTCATCATTTTGTCTTGCAAAACATCTCCTATATAATGGAGGTTCCATTTGGTTGCAATACACATACAAAACACAGAGCTAATATTTGCTCTCTCAATCTCTCTCAATTTCTTATACTTTCTATGTAAGTTCTTCCAGATCCTATAGTTAGTTCTATGATTGCACTCTGTTAATAATAAGGGGTATTGTCTGTGAAGCTCTTGTATTTACTCGGAGAAGAATAGGAAAGAAATAAAGGGTATGGTATAGAATCCAACTCCAATCATAATTGTAATCCCAGATTAATGTTGTTTGTTACGAAGTAATAATGCCCAATCAGAAATGGATAGCTAATTTTTATTATTATTATTATTATTATTATTATTATTATTTTTATCAAATCTTAACTGCCAAAAGACGACAGCTAAAATTTTATTGATGTCAATTTGTGAACTTCTTCCTGTGAGCCAATTTGTTTTGATTTATGAAACATTGAGCCCACTTGAAAGGATCAGATGCTTTTTGGTTATTTGAATCTGTTGCAGCCTCCCTTCCTTAATAGTCACAAGAATGCGCTTAGACCTCTATCAGCACCTTTTTCTTCTCATTCTTCTTCTTATGTCCATGACAGTCGGTATTATATATTATCTATGAAGTGGAGCATTCTGTAAGGAGGATCTTGATGCAACTGAATAAAAGAATAACTGGTATTTATTGTTGCACAAGCTACTCACAGAAATGGGAAAACTTGATGCCCTGATTATATAAAGCTAATACCTTCATTTCTACTTTGATTCATTTGGTATTATTTCTTCTAAGTCAATTATAAACCTTGTTTTGATGACTTCTAAATGATCAATACAAGATCGATAATTAACATTTGACTATCCCCCTTTTTACTAATATTTAATCCCAATATTCATGCATTACTTGCTATATTTTATCCATTGCTATATAGTTAGATTTCTTCGGTAGAAGTGATGGGTCATGCTAATTAAAGTTCTATGAGTTTCTTTTTGCTCATAGTTGTCCAATACTATTAACTATAAAATTGCTGGTAACATTAATTTGCTATATTCATGTAAAATTAAATTTGTTGGAATCATTTTTTAATCATAATCGGCTTGTTTGTTTATGATAGAGTTTGTGCATAAATGAGTGGTGCCAAATTTATTTATTTTGGAATATTTGTTTTAATATATGTATCTTGTGAAATTTGGAAATATCTTATTTCAAAATGAAAACTAGTTAATATTGAAGTTCACTACATTTGTGATCTTGAAAGGGCAAGTTTTTTATACGTATTTATCTTTTTTGAAGATGCAAACTACATGTACTAATTTTTGACTTCAGATTGTGACATTTATCTCCACGTTAAACTTTCAGATGAGTCCATCCAATAGCTCGCCTTGTGCTATTCTTGATCGATCAAGATACTTGAAGAAAATGTGTCATAATTGTGTTGATCAGGAAGTTTTTCCCATTGCATCAATAGTTGTTATAACCTTAGAGTTTATGCATTTATTCTTGTTACATTTATTCATTTATTCTGATTAGATTAAGGTAATGATATGATTAGATTAGAAGGCCTTAACTAGATTAAGGTAAAAAGCAGATATGATTAGATTAAGGTAAAGAGATATGATTAGATATTAATCTAGTCAAGGTCTTCAGCAGATATGAAGACCTTGACTAGGTCAAGGTCTAGATTAGATTAAGGTAAAGATAAAAAAGGTAAAGAGATATGATTAGATGTTTTTTGTTATAATTGAAATAACAAAAAAGGGTAAGCTGGAAAAGGTTTATGAAGTAATGTTCTTTGTAGTTCAAAACCAGAAGTAATGGACTGAATAAATTTTGCACCTTAGAGGAAGTCTGCGATCTGATCAAAACCAGAATTGCTTTGTGGATTAAATATAATTCTAGGTTGTTGCATTATTCAGTCCATGATATGGTTGAGAATCTGGATCAGGTTCGTAGGTGTGTGGGGGTAGGTGATTGTGTCCTTGCTTGCTAGGTGGAATTTCATTATGGTCAGGGATTGAATTGGGTTAACTTAGTAGTCATTTTGTTTGATAGTTAAGCTACCTTAATTTATGTTTCAATTTTTTATTTTCTGAGTTGGTGATGATCTGAGTTGCTGCTGTGAAGTTGTTGTTGTTGCTTGTGATATTGTTGCTGTAGCTATGGTTTCTGTGCTGATGTGTAGTTCAGTAGTAGAATTGGGTTTCTGATATTTATGCTGCTGCTGGATCTGTTGATAGTGATTGTGTCCTTGCTTGCTGGGTGGAACTTCATTATGGTCAGGGTTTGAATTGGTTTAACTTAGAAGTCAATTTGTTAGATAGTTAAGCAACCTTAACTATCTAAATTGGTGATGATCTGAGTTGCTGCTGTGAAGTTGTGGTTTCTGTTCTGATGTGTAGTTCAGGAGCAGAATTGGGCTTTTAAGTCCTCTGGGCTGTGCTGCTATCCTGTGGAACACTAAATGATTTGGTGACTGCCAGTCAGTACTACTGTGAAGACTAGAGGAGATTCATGGAGGTTTGTTCACTTCTGTAGAGTTGATTAATTACTTTAGAGTTTAGGGCACCAAACCAAACAACTTGTTTGTTAAGAAGAACATAAATACATGTTTACATTAGATTTGGCTGTTGAGAGACTACAGTAATTGACTCTGTTCTATGGGTCAGGAAAAGAATTCACTTGTTGCACATTTTTAATATAAGACATTGTTCTAAATAATCTTTCAGTATAAGACAGTAATTAACTCTGTTCTAAACAGTTGAGACAATGCTTTGTGAGTTGAATGTGCTTTTCCAAACATACTAAACATGTAAAACCATTAGACTGTAAGTGGTCTCTTTTGTGTTTTTCTTTAGCTGCTATCATGTGTGAACTATTGAAGACATTTTCCATAAATTGGCCAAATCTTTTTGCAGGCTGAAGGTGATGATGATGATGCCGAGGCTGATGATGATGAAACTGACAAAGATGCTGATATTACAGAAGAGAGTGCACATGTAGGATTTCTTTGTACTTTTAATTGTTTAAAAATATCAATTCCACAAAGGATCCACTTTGATATATCTTGTTTGTTGCTTTGTATTTGCAGGATGAGTTGTAGGGAGGGAGAGCACCGTTGTGGTTTTCTGCTGACAATTCACTCTCTCGAGATCTCTGAATTTTTTTCTTGCTTAGTTTATTTGTAGCTTTTAGTTTTGTTTGTGTTTTAGGAAAAGAAACATTGGTGGCTGCATAGCAAGCAAGAACTGTGGCTAATTGTTTTAATCTCATTTGACTCACCTGAGGAATTGAATCAGTAGTTGTTGGGTTTACCACTGTATGGAACGTCACTTGTGCCATTCCTTGAATTTATGTGCTATGTTATTGCCTATTGGGAAATTGGAAAGTAAGAAAATATTTAATGATTCAGTTAATTTGAATGATGCTTTAAAATTATAGGTTTATTATGGATTGAATGAATTATTAGGAATTA